CTTTTTGTTTGAAAATTGAACTAACTTCATTGTTAATCCCTGAGATCCAGCTATTGCCCATCTCACTAACCCGATTTAAAACTTTTAGAAACTAATACTTTTACTATATGCACGGGGTAGGGGGTGGGGGTAGGCAGGGATGGTATGTGCCAATCGATCAAAAATATTCTTAATTTTTCTTTGCCATAAAAAATATATAAGAAAATTGGTTTATTTCTCTGTATCAGGTTTAAATTTAATCCTCCATATATTTATGAATATCTAATTTCCCAATAACCAAAACTCGTGAAGAACACAAGACAAGTGACCCGTGAATATCTCGTGAAAATTCACATTTTGACAAGGTGAATGTGGAAGATTTGATCTAGGACCTAGTTTTTAGACGAGTTTATTTCACAAGATTTACACAAGATTTTTACATGCGAAAATTAATTTCTTCCTATCCACTTAAAATACATTTTTTAAATTCCGGGAAAGGGGGGGGGGTGACATAAATAGTGGATTCCTGGAATACAAATATTTTATAGAAAATAAGTGTAAGTTTATAAACATTAAAAAATGTTTAGAAACTAAACAATTTAGTTTATATCGTTTACATTAAATCAAATGGTCAATATTCATATATTGAGATTTATAGTCAACAGAATGTTCAGCTGTGTTGGCGTAATTCATAAATACTTGCAAGTCCCTCGATCCTTCTTGGATCTAAAAGATGGATAATTCAAAAAGGGGTTGCTGAGAAAAAAAAATAAAAAATCCAATATGTGAAACTTTTCTTTACTTTGCTCTTGCTTGTTTTAATCAGAAAAAATTACTTGAGTTAAAATATTTTAGTTTGCTACAATATACTTTTAATTTCTGAAAGATGAGCAGAGACACCAAGCTTTGCGATTTTGCAACTCTATCAAAAATAAAAAATACTATTTCTTCATGTGATATCTAATATATTTCATGCGTGATATTTAGGAGAACTAAAATCTAGATATTCTGACAATGAATTACTTGTGTTTAAAACGTTGGGAATATGCAAGATCTTGCATATGGTATCTTTGCTACGAGCACAACATGTGAAAAAACGACGGGAATGGAACTAGAATTATATAATATATCTTACACGTGATATTTACGAGAATTAAAATCTATATATTCTAGCAATGCATTATTCATGTTTAACACGATGGGAATATTTAAGATCATGCACTGCAGTATCTTTGCTACGAGCACAGCATGTGGAAAACGACGGAAATTGAACTAGAATTATCTAATATATCTTACACGTGATATTTACGAGAATTAAAATCTAGATTCATGTTTAACACGATGGGAATATGCAAGATCTTGCACTGGTATCTATGCCACGAGCACAAAAAAAACGACGGGAATTGAACTAGAATATTTCCGATATTGCCGATTCCATTAGCGCCTGATCCAATCAGGGTTCAATAATGTGTTTGATGTATTTTCTGAACCAATAGAAATTGCAATTTGCAGGACGGTGACATTTATCTATATATCTTATCATCCAATTAGAGATGAATTCTTAAATCAGACCCAGTAGTAAATGGAAAAATTTAATTCTACTGAAACCGAAGTGGGATGAATCTTCAAGATTGCGANCTTTTAGGAATAATTCTAAACTAACAATTCTGTTAGAATAATTTGTTTAGCACTAGGCATTTCTATAAATAATTTTTCCTTTTAACTGTTGCTGCTCTAAAAGTAGGCCATTTTAAATCATTTAAAAATTTTGGTGGATTTTTCTTTCCGAATTGGCGCATTTTCAAAAAAAACCCATGATTTTTTCTCAGATTTTGTTGTTCCAAAAACCCTCTGGGCCGGGTCTTGTGAAGTCCCGCATAAAATTTGGGCCGGATCGGTTCAGCCGTTTTGACGTTAATTGGTTACCAACAGACTGCAAGACAAGCATTAAGTTTGTTTATAAAATACTTGCAGAGAACTGATATCGCCCCGTAGTGTTGTTGCTGATATTTCTGTTTGTTGGCAGCTTCATATTTTTCATATTTTTCATATTTTTCATATTTTTCATATTTTTCATATTTTTCATATTTTTCATATTTTTCATATTTTCATATTTTTCATGTTTTTCATACTTTTCATATTTTTCATTCTTCAACAATTTTTTTTGTTTTCTCAAAATTGGAAAGTGTGTGGTGGTCTGAAAATAAATAATATTTTTTGTATTTTTTCCACTTTTTATAATTTATGTCTTCTTTTATTCTATTTAATCTGTAATCTAAGGTTTACTGAGTGTGATGTGTGTTGTTGATTTGACTAAAGTATATTCTCTTCAATAAGAAGATTGAATATCTATCTATCTATCTTTCTAGCTATCTATCCCCATTTTATATTTATATTTTCCTTTGGTTTATTTACAATTATTTGAATATTTATTTACCAGTTCCACACAAAAGATGGTACATCTTTAGAAATACAAATGCAAAAATGCATATTATAGGTTTATGAGTAAGAGAAAAAGAAAATACGCTATAATATATTTATTTTTAATTTTAATTTATGAAAAATGCATATTTTTGTTTATTAGCAGGAAATAGAAAATACATTATAATATAAACTTTTATTTTATTTTTTATCTATGAAAAATGCATATTTTTTGTTTATCAGTAAATAGAAAGAAAAGAAAATAGTAGGATATTGTTTGTTTTTTATTATTATCTCTGGGGTTGCTGACAGTTTGGGCCTTTCTTTTTTTCTTAGGTTATTATAAGATTGCAAATGAGGCTCTTTGTTTAAAATAAAATCTGATAATTTTTCTAAAAAGTGGTTTAGCACAAGCTTGTTGTGGAACCTGATTCGGCCTGATGGCGGAAATGCGCCGGATTCAGTTTCCCTGAAAAAAAATAGTTGGTCGTTAAAAGTTAAAAACTACCCAAACAAAAATATTTGAAGAAGCCCACCATAGATAAGAAGCCCAGCGGATATAGGGTTAAATGAGTTTACATAAAAGAGGTTGATCTGAACTATTTCTTCTTCCTCATAAATTCATTTTATTTTAGACCTTGAGGGCGTATTAGTCGAGGACCGTCTGGTGGTTGGGGGCGGGCATGTTGTCCTTCCCTGTCCAGGAGGCGTGTCTACAAGGGTGGAGTGGAGATGCAGAGGATGCTTTTCTATTTCGGAAACCAAGGAAACTATTGTTGCTGAGCTGGTCAAATCCAGGTAGGGAGATACAACATAAATACAGTGTAATAGTACAGTACAGTACAGTACAGTACAGTACAGTACAGTACAGTACAGTACAGTACAGTACAGTACAGTACAGTACAGTACAGTACAGTATTATACTGTATACAACCGGGATATACAGGTTACCACCTAGATATACAGGATACAACCTAGATATACAGGATACAACCTGGTGACACAGGATACAACCGGGATATACAGGATACAACTTAGATATACAGGACACAACCTGGATATACAGGATACAACCGGGATATATGCAGGATAAACCTTGGATATACAATATGCAATCGGGAGATTAATTTTAATCTTTTTAGACCTGAGAACCTAGTGTATCCGGACCGTATTCATCTGGTACCTGGAGATTCAGGATACAACCTTGAGATCAATCCTAGTTTTACACAGGTAAACGAGAGATTCAAAATTTGAGAATTAAGATTTAGGACAGCAAATATAAACCCACACACACGCGTTGTGTACCAAAATCATTTAGCTTCACAACTGTAATTTTCTGAATTGTTTGGTCTTGATAAATAGTTATTTCTAGACATAAAATCTTTTTTTGTAAAGCTATAGGTCAAAACAAAAACGTTTATTACATTTCTGTTTTAAATTTAATTTAATATGTTATTCTAGAAATATCAAAATTGTTTTCAGTAATATTTTAACTATTTAGTGCAGTATGGTATATAGCTAAATATCTGAATATGCCACCTAATGGTGTAAACCTTTAATATTTCAAACTTTGACTATTTGATTTGTCAGAATTCATGGTTTGAAATAAAGTGGGACGGGTTGCAAAGATACTGGGGTTAGAAGACCAGAGTTTGCGTGAAAAACTCGACAACGTAGATAGCCACATAGATGCTTATAAAAAGTCACATTAATTTTTAAGACAGGGTCTACTTTGAAGTGTTGCAACGCCTTTGGGCTTTGCATTTACCGCTCTAACTTAAACTCATGCTTTTCTGTACATTTATCACTATACAGCACTTGTAGTTAGCTTTTGGGGTTTAAAAAGAAATTACCAAAAACCTTTAAATCACAGTGGATCATGAATGATAAAGTACAATAGTTTCATATAACAATTATCAACTAATTATGATTCTATTCTTCTATGTACAGGATTTTGGGAAATATAATAATTATATTCTTCTGTGTACAGGATTCTGGGAAATATTATAATTATAATCTTATGTGCACAGGATTCTGGGAAATATTTCTGTTTACTGAACAAGGAAGCCAAACCAACAGTAGTGTATAATCTTGCTGTACAGGTATGTATATCTACATATTTTAGACGTTGTACATGAGTGCACAACTTTCCTGAGTTTTCTAGTTGTACTCTTAGTTAATTTTTACTTTTACATCTTTTACTTTTACTTTTACACTTTAGTTACTTAGGTAATTTTTACTTTTACATCTTTTACTTTTACTTTTACACTTTAGTTACTTAGGTAATTTTTACTTTTACATCTTTTACTTTTACTTTTACACTTTAGTTACTTAGGTAATTTTTACTTTTACATCTTTTACTTTTACTTTTACACTTTAGTTACTTAGGTAATTTTTACTTTTACATCTTTTACTTTTACTTTTACACTTTAGTTACTTAGGTAATTTTTACTTTTACATCTTTTACTTTTACTTTTACACTTTGGTTAGAGTGAACTCAAGACTATATTCACAGGGTTTGCAATGCTCTATATATTGTGCATAACAAGAATGAATTTACTTGTTCATATGAAAGCCAAAAATAGTACATTTTTTATCGAAAGCTTTTCACAGATCATATTGTCGAAAACGTGCACAAAATTTGAATTAGATTTTTGTATTAAGATCCCAAGATTATGATTAGCCGGACAGTATTATAGTTACATGCAGCAGGAATTAAAGTATTGCGACATCATATTGCAGCTTGTAATTCTGAACAATTATAACTAAAACTTTAAACAGGCCATAACTAAAGTTTTTGCAAGGGAGGAGGGGCAAATAGGGAGAGAGCCCTCTTTCAAAGTTAAAAGAATCTATGTAAGAAAGTCCCGGGAAAAAAGTTTCTGGAAAAAAAAACCGGAAATAAAAACTTTGGAAAAAACGTCCGAATTTTATCAGGTCCTTGGAAAAAATGTCACTGGAAATAAAGTCCTGTGTTTTGGATTCCTGGGACTTTTTTTCCTAAAATAGTATGGGGGCTGCCAATAAAGTCTCAGGAAATAAGATTCCAGGAAAAAAAGTCCTGAAGAAAATAAATCCGAGGAAAAGAAAAACCTAGAATTGTGAATCATGCATTTTCACTTGTTAGAGGACTTTTNTAAGTTAAAAAACTGCATAGGGGTCAAATTGATCCCGCCCCCCCAGCAGGAATAGGGTTTAAAAAATGGACAGTGAAGCTAGGGTTTGTATATTGTAAACAATATGTATGGCTTAAACCGGTTTTATTCTGATTTGTACTGTAGTTACAGCTTGTTTACTCCATACTACAGAATTACCTAAATAGATCATTTTAAATCACATAAATCGATTATAAATGTAGATAAAACTGTGTGAAAGTTATACCAAAACACGTATATATGGTATAATATGTGAATCAATTAAGTTTTAAACAGTTCTTATTCAGCAAATACGGAACAAATCTGAAAATAAGGATAACCCAGAGTTGCCTAAAGATTTTAGGTATGCTTCTCGTATAATTTCAATATAATTCTTTTCATGCAAATTTGATTTTTACGTTTGTATCATGTGACCAACATTTCCGTTAATGGCAGTGCAGTATCTGGGCATGTGGCTCTCTCTGTATCACGTGACCAGAATTTCAACCAATGGGCATTCAGATATCTGGTCACACGGCTGCGTCGATTAGATTACGTATATATGAGTTTTGTACAACTTTGACACAGTATAATAAAAATTTCTCGAGACAGGGACATCAGATAGAGCTAATTTTGCTCGCGACTAACTCATAAAATATTTAGGCTTTAGCCTAAACTCATTTCATTTTACCTTAATAATCCCTTTAAAGAAACAAAACATGGATATCTAATTCATTCTTATTCAGGCAAAGCTTTCATGAATATCGTTTTAAATCGGGCATTGACATCTTTGCATGTAGGGTCAATTGAAGTTAGGCTTATAGTTCCTTTTAAAAAAATGTTTACATTTGTATTTTTCTTGTTCAGGATGTTGCCTCTACCCCAGGGAAACCATTGATAATGTCCTTTAACTCTACAGCAGGTAAATCAACTACAGGGGCACCAATACAAATGTGGAATAGGAAGACGACATTTTAGTAACGTTCAGTGTATTTGATGTTATCATTATATATGGCGTTACCATGTTACTTGCCAATTAACTTATTAGGTAAAATTGATCTGTTCAAACTTTACAATTCCTTTGTTTCACGTTCATTGGACTATTTGAAATCATAACTTGAGTCTCACTGTCGTCTTCCTAGTCTACAGTTTTATGGGTTCCATTGTATGAGCGGAAATTGCGGTTGATAGCGACATGTTCTTACAGCAATAGTTTGTAAATAAGATTGCTTAGGCCTGGCATTCCTGTTTATGCATATGGTTCCTTGTTTTCAATCTTTGTTATTGTTTACAACCTTTATTTAATTTAATATATTGTGTTTTTTGTAAAGGCTGCATTGTAATTGTTTACGGATTGTTGTTTGGTGCCGGTGGGCATTGTGTTCCATGTATTGTTGTTTATTGGTATAGTGAAATCATGATTGTTGTTTGCGGGGTATTGTATTCCATGTATTGTTGTTTTCTGGGAAATGTGTTCCATGTATTGTTGTTAGCTTGGTATTGTGTTTGATGTATTGTTGTTTTCTGTGAAATGTGTTCCATGTATCGTTGGTTGCTGGGTATTGTGTTCCATGTATTGTTGGTTGCTGGATATTGTGTTCCATGTATTGTTGGTTGCTGGATATTGTGTTCCATGTATTGTTGGTTGCTGGGAAATGTGTTCCATGTATTGTTGTCTGCAGGGTATTGTGTTCCATGTATTGTTGGTTGCTGGGAAATGTGTTCCATGTATTGTTGTCTGCGGGGTATTGTGTTCCATGTATTGTTGGTTGCTGGGAAATGTGTTCCATGTATTGTTGTCTGCAGGGTATTGTGTTCTGGTTGCTGGGAAATGTGTTCCATGTATTGTTGTCTGCGGGGTATTGTGTTCCATGTATTGTTGGTTGCTGGGTATTGTGTTCCATGTATTGTTGGTTGCTGGATATTGTGTTCCATGTATGGTTGTTTGCTGGGTATTGTGTTCAGTTTTTTTTGTTTTTAAAATACCCAGCAAACATTAATATGCTGAACATGGTACTCTTTCAATCTTACAAAGGATGATTGAGAAATCTTTGATTTTTTTCTGAAACTTGAAAGTTTATTGTCACAAATATTGTAGAAATTACTGTTTGTCTGAAAGCAAAAACAATCAACAAAATGATCATGACGTGTCTGATTACAGATTGAAAAAGCACACAATGCTCTTGTGAATTTTCCATTGACGTCTTTGACTTTAAGAGACCCTACATGCAAATATGGGAATATCCGATTTACAACAGAACTTTTTATAGCTTTATCTGAGCATATTTTAATTAGATATACATCTTTTAAATTTTGGAAACTGTTTATTTTCATTTATGGACTCTATGCCTTTCTTCATTACAAGAAAAAATGAATTAATCACTTTCAGAGTCAGAAAAACTAAATTATCTTCCACATTTTTGATGAGATTAAGGTTTGAAGGATATAGTCGTAAATCGGGCATTGTCAACTTTGCATAGACGGTTACTTGAAATTACGCTTACAGTTCTTGGTCTTGTATTTAGTTAATTTATCCTGGGCTCCTCCTCTTCAGCAGCATCATGCTCCGGTCAGCACATACCTTATACAAATCCTAGAGGGAGAAAACACTAACTGGGCCAGTTATACTACAATTAGTACAGGTAGAACACATATCTTATACAAATCCTAGAGGGAGAAAACACTAACTGGGCCAGTTATACTACAATTAGTACAGGTAGAAAACATATCTTATACAAATACTAGAGGGAGAAAACACTAACTGTGACCAGTTATACTACAATTAGTACAAGTAGAACACATATGTTATATACAAATCCTAGAGGAAAAAATTAAAAACTAACTGGGCCAGCTATACTACAATCAGTAGAAGTATAACACATATTTTGTACAAATCCTATTAGAAATAAGTTAGAAATAATATAATTAAGTTTTAAATTTCTAAGGTTTACACCACCAAGTTGCAAAGATAAATACAGGGATTAGAAAATTTGAGTTTGTGGGGAAAAAATCAATTCCTTGGAATGTTCTGAAATAAAGTATGTCTCCCTTGAAGAAGTGATGTTGTTACCAGGCACCATTATGTTGCTAGGCTGTTAGAACACTGCAGAGCGAAGTATAGTTTGTTTGTTTAAAGCAGGAGCACTTGTTTCTACAGTTTCTACACAATTAGGATTAACTTTGCTCACATGAGAGTGTATATGGAGTAAACTTGTTGCTGACCTGTAAAGGAACTAATTAGTTGAGTCTAATTCTTTTCTCTCTATATTTATGCAACCAGATTGTGTTTTTCCACTGATTTTGCAGAATTTATAGTTTGCAGGCTGCAAAGATATGAGTATTAGGAATTTCGAGTTTGTGCCTCAGTCGGACATACTCATTTTTTTAAATCAAAGCCATTCAATGTTGAGCCATTACATATCATTATGTTTCCTCTGCCTAAACTTCTGTGGGAGTAAAATATAGGAATATATTGAAATATGATCCATGTAGATGCACATTTGTAAAATCAAATCAGAAAGGAACTGAACACTTGACCCAAAAATTAACATTTTTTATGACGATTCTATTAGCGCCTGATCCAATCAGGGTTCAGTCATGTGTTTGGTGTCTATTCTGAACCAATAGAAATAGATGGCGTTAACATCTATCTTTCTATCTATCTCATCATCCAATTAGAGATGAATCCTTATATCGGCACTAAACAGTAGATGTAAATATTTACTTCTACTGAAACTACAATGTGCCATCTCTCCTTCTGAGTTTAATATAATTTCATGCCACACAAGTTTATACTTGTAATATATGTTTTATAGATATAAACTGAAAACTGGTATCCATATATATACATTACAACCCGTTATATAGATTCATAATATTTACTGCAGCTCTGTATCAGGCCATCAAGGGCGTATACAGAAATAAATGTAGGGGGGGGGGCAAGATTTGCGCGAAGCGCAAAAAATTTTTTTGCCCCCCCCTAGGAGCTCCAAGGGGGGGGCAAAATTCGAACTGTAAATTCATAACACTTGGCTTCTTGGATATCAGGCATAAGTATAAGATACTTAAAAGGCACACATACAGTCCAAATAATCCCCCATGCCCCCCCCTGTATACGCCCTTGCAGGCCATTTATATATTTATACCAGCTTAGGAACCAACGTTGCACAGGAGGGTCCCACCGTGTACCCGCGCTTTAACGTACATTACGATTTTAACTATTTTCCCCGAAGTCAACTTAGAATCTCAAAACTAAGCTAAGAACATTCCCGTGGCTCTCCCGAATTCACTCATCTCAAATTGAGGAAAAAAGGGTCAAGGGGATGCTGAATAATGATCGGACAACAAACAAACAGACAAACAGAGATTACAATTTTATATATTTGTTAAAATTGTGAAACCTAGTGGTTGAAAGGAAAAGTACTCGCCTAAAAGTACAGTTTTAATGGTTGAACAGCGTCGTAGATCACAACCGCTACCGCTCACTATTTCACCCCAAAGTAAATCAACAAATTAATGCCTAATTTTTTAGATTCTCCTGAGACGACCTACACTGTTCCAAATCTAAAACCCTTCACGGTCTACTCTTTCAGGCAGTTTTCCAGTTCTTTGATTCTTCCCTGGGATGTAAAAAATAGAATTTTTCTAAATGTAATTTGCATAATTTTTTTAGCTAAAATTTATTTCGGACTGAAAATGCAATGGCATCAAACTGAATTCAGATTCGAAAAGCATTGAACAAAATGTCATCTTTTTCAAGTTTTGATGTGTTTTTGTGCTAAAACCTATTTTGTTTTGATATAGCTCAGACGGGGTTCGAATCTGAATACAGTATGGAATTTCAAATAAACATTTGAAATATTTGTTTTGGTTTTATGGTGAAATTTTAAAATATAAAACGGCAAATTTTATAATTGTGAAATGATCAAATTGAAGGTTTTGTTTACAAAATTTGAAATCGAAATTTAAAGTACTTAGGCTTTCAGACAACAACAAAAGCTTTAAATGTTGCTTTTCAATTTTAAAAAATCCACAGATTATAGGAACAAATTTACATTCTTAACCATTCATAAACCGTTCCTGGGTTTATGTGAGTTGCCACAAAAAATTTGGGCCCGATTGGTTCTGCCGTTTTGAGGTTTTGGATATCGACAGACAGAAAGATAGGCTGACAGGACTAATTGTATTAATATATGTATGTTTTATACCACTTACACAGTGTTTTCCTAGAATGCAACCAACCTTAAACAAAATTATCTCTTTTTTCAAATTTGAAATATCGTTTCTTGGATATTGTTATAAATGTTAAATGTAAGGTTTTCCCAGTTTTCCACATTTAATAATTTTTGACAGAAATTCTTTGGATCATTTTCCTTTTAGCGTATGACAGGTAGCAAAGTTTCTACTGAGAACTCCCAGGAGATGTTTCACTTTCAACCATTCATTTTAATGTTAAAGAAATATTTTTAAAATGTTTGGTTTCGAAACAGTTAGCTCCTTTAACGCTGAAATGAGTCCAAAACTCAACATTCAATTAGAAAAATTTATGTTGAAAAATGTTCCCCCGAAATTTTGCGTAAACAAATTTAAAAAACAAGTTTTCCACAGACGCCGAACATGTTTGAATTATAACGAAACGAAGGCAAAACTGGTTTTACTATTTGGAAAATTACACTTTCTGTTGAATTTGCAACAAATAGTCCCTTTAATAGAAACTTTAATGTTCACTGTTCAGTGTTCAATCCTTTTACTGCGGGGAAGCTGGTTGTGAATTATCTAAATTGAATTTTCTATGATCATGTGTATGGAAAGGCTGTTAGATCATAGAGGGGTTCTTTACAACTAGTAGGAAATAGGTAGATCATAGAGGGGTTCTTTACAGCTAGAAATAGGTAGATCATAGAGGGGTTCTTTACAACTAGTAGGAAATAGATGGATTATACAGGAGTTCTTTACAACCAGTAGGAAATAGATGGATTATAGAGGGGTTCTTTAAAACTAGTAGGAAATAGATGGATTATAGAGGGGTTCTTTACAGCTAGTAGGAAATAGATGGATTATACAGGGGTTCTTTACAACCAGTAGGAAATAGATGGATTATACAGGGGTTCTTTACAACTAGTAAGAAATAGATGGATTATATTATTGGATTTGTTACGCGACCAGGCGTTTTTCCTAAAGACCTGATGAAAGCTATATAAGTACCGTGCGGTATTTCTCAGGATTGGATTGTAAGACTTCCTCTTCCGATCGCTCTCCATAATAAAAGATAAACAGGATGAGTTCCGATTCTTTATTCACCAAGACTTCAATCTAGCAAAAATAAAACTAGATAAACCACAGAAAAAGCTTTGAATTCATAAACCATACAACACAAATAAATTAATTCAAGCATTAAAAAACTGTGGATCGGAACCAACAATACATTTTAAATCATCAAATCCATGAAAAACACAAAATATAAGGTATTTGTATATCTAAAAGAATATTACTGCAGTGATCCTATAATTATAAGCACAGTTTACATTATCGATACTCTTAAACGGTTTATAACTAAATAATATGAATAAATTCTGTCCGCTTCGAGGCGAGAATTCCACGCATGCGTAGACGAGCCGTATACTGCATCTAAAACTAGTTTTTCCGACACTTTTTTGTACAGATATTCAGGGTGACCTCAGAAATTCACAGGGGCGCAACATAGACTTTACTTACGCAGCATGGCTCGCGTAACAGAGGGGTTCTTTAGAACTAGTAGGAAAAAGGTAGATCATAGAGGGGTTCTTAACAGCTAGTAGGAAAAAGATGGATTATACAGGGTTTTTTTATAACCAGTAGGAAATAGATGGATTATACAGGGGATCTTTACAACTAGTAGGAAACAGATGGATTATAGAGGGGTTCTTTACAACTAGTAGGAAATGGATGGATTATAGAGGGGTTCTTTATTACTAGTAGGAAATAGATGGATTATAGAGGGGTTCTTTACAACCAGTAGAAAATAAGTAGATCAAAGAGGGGTTCTTTACAACCAGTAGAAAATAGGTAGATCATAGAGGGGTTCTTTACAACCAGTAGAAAATAGGTAGATCAAAGAGGGGTTCTTTACAACCAGTAGAAAATAGGTAGATCATAGAGGGGTTCTATACAACCAGTAGGAAATAGATGGATTATTGAGGGGTTCTTTACAACCAGTAGAAAATAGGTAGATCATAGAGGGGTTCTTTACAAC